TTTCAGAGGAAATCTCATTCGATTCCGGTGATAAAGTACTAAGCCTTCGTCCTTCATATGACAAACATCATCAGAGCGACGTAACATCGTCGCAACAAAATTCAAGCTAACGATTCAAGAAAACTCACCGGCAAATCCCTAAAAAGTGGTTTATCTACTCTACTTCTGGCCTCTTTGATCAAGTATTAAGTGATTTGGTTAGTTAAGCTCATATGTCAACTTCTATGCATGTAAGTGTGTCTGTCTCTGTATTTTTATGTGCATGTTTGTGTTCGCTTATGCACAAAACCCGAAGTGCACCCAACACTTCCACTCGAAATGGAAGTAAGCTGAACAATTATGAAACAAGGGATTCATCGAAACCCAACTTTTCTTCGTATATATTAAACTTGCTCAGAGTCATGGCTGATGGTCTTGCGGCCTGATCTACGCCAACTTGAGTAAAAAAAGAGTCATGGTGACGCAAAAATGAACAACCGAATCAGGCTTTGGTGTTTCTACTCTCTCTTGAACATGCAAGGACTAGCCGGTTAGGCTGGTTGACTCGGTGCCATCTGAGAGCTTTTGTAGAAAGGAGATCGGAGTCTGACGACGTCTGACTTGTGGCATGACAGACGTCGAGGCAACGTCGAATGCCGACAGGGCAACGGGCAGATCGAGATAGGCGTCTCTTCTTTAAACGCAAAATCAAAGCCATCACAACAACCAACTTGGCAACAGTTTCAACTGACGCAATCGGACATGATCAGGCATCAGTGAAGAGGTAAAGACAGTAAAATGGATAAAGGTTGTTTGACCTTGTTCTCGCAACATGGTCATATTGGTAGGAAGACTTAGAGGAACGCACCTAGTCCGGGGTCCATTGTCTGCAAGATCATTTCCAAAGTTGAACCGTGGACGTGGTACATTCGCAAACGTTTCGCCGGCATCGGCAATGAGACTTGCCATTCTTACCACCACACAACAACTCGGCAAAGAGACAAGTTAAGTCGATCCTTTGACCAAATGTGTGCTAAAAAGTTGTGGTATCTCTCCTTCTGTACTGGGCTATTCGCCTTTCCTACCTTTATACGACGAAAGGAGACTGCGACCACACAAAAGGCCACACCATCTTGGTCTTCATACCTTCAAGTAAAACGGATAGTTATGTTTTCCCAAAACCATTTGAATAGTCCTCGTAATGCCAGTGAATTCCATTTAGCCCTGCCTCTTACCCATTTAGTGTGGATAGAAACATGGGGAGACTAGAACGGGATCTCTGTTTACACTTCGCACCACACGAGCCAGGTACTGTTCAGGTACAGATAAGACGTCGACTCCCGCTTATAGCAGTATTGTTCGGAGAAGATGTTATCGTGGATGCGGCGAGACGACACGTTTCTCATTTCGGTTAGCCTCGAGGCAAAGATTTATTTAATTTCCGAGTCCGATGATAATAGAACGTTGATTCCTTTAAGATCCTAGTTCACCATTTTGTTTTTGTTAGATTTGTTGTTTTTTGACATTTTTCCCTTGCTTGAAGGCTAATACGCAACCTCGAAATTCACAAGCGAGTACATCAAAAAGGGATCTCCGACTTGCCGGGTGTATATGCACTAGTGCACGGATATGTACAAAAAAGTTTGAAATGCCCCATGACTAATCGCCTATTTAAATGTGTTATTTGTCCGGCAGAGCATGAAAGACGGTAGTTATTTCTTGTTTTGGGAAAAAATTGCACACCAGCGGGTGCAAACTTGCGTCCATTTGAATGTCGTCTAAAAAGATTTTTCACTTTATTCGCAGTCGCGTCAGTCAGAGAAGCATAGAGTAACCGCGCTACAATTTCCCAACTTTTCAACACATACTGAGACACACCTCCGCAAGACAGGACCAAATTGGCATTTCACTAAATTAGGAGAAGTACGGTCTCATTTTGCTCTGACCTTCTTTTTCTTGTTAAAAGTTGGATTAAAGGGATTAGTAGGAAGTTCCTGCCAAAGAATAGTTTTAACCCTCGAACGACGTCTGTCACAGACTGACAGACAAAACTCGACTCGGATGGGGCTCTTCGCACCGACTCATAGTCACGGATGACTCCACGCCCCACCTCCGTCGGGTTTGGGCAAGGCCAGTCTACGACCATTAATCAGACTCCCTTTTACGTGAAATGAAAGGTACAACAACATAAAGTTATAATCCACGTTCCCTTCATATAACACACACACACACACACACACACACACACACACACACACACACACAAATAAACAGTCAGACGATCATGCGTGTGGAGCCGAAGGTGGAGAGGTCATAAATGGTGCAAGTTTTTGCGATTTGTTGACTTGTCGCCAAATGCATGCATTCAAAGCGGATAGAATAAATAGAATAAAGTGACTCGTCGCAAGAGAGAGAGAGAGAGAGACAGTGATCAAGGAGCTGATCTGAGCCTCGAAAGGTAAGCTCAAATCTGTTCACTTGATCTGTACATCCCATTTGAAGGTGAATGAATAAGCGTACAAATTCAAGCAGGCCTTGCGCTGCAAAGCTGCACACACACACACA